CAGGAAACAGTGGGAATCAAGAAGAAAGGAGAGCAGAACCGCTGCCAGGGCACAGCCTGGCCAGCTTCACCCTCTGTGCACAGAAGGGTCAGAGGCTTCTACATTTCTTGGAGATGGTATAAAATCAGGCTATGGGACACTTCCCAGTGAGGTTCTAGGTTTCATTATAAATTTGATAAAATAAGCATCAGTATTCTTTAGATTAGCTAGGTTAAAATTCTGTTAGAAAAAACAATCCTGCAAGGCAAGTTTACGGGTCCGCACACAGTTTAAACCACACTGCAAGACTATCTCAGAAGAAAACTCCTGCCAGTCAATTCCACTGCTTGCACTCCCAGTCTGTCTGGAACGGACTAGCAGATCATGAAAGAATCAAACCACACTTCTGCCAAAACACCTTAGGAAAAAGCAGTGCAAGGGGGCTGATTTTTGTCTTGGTCTTTGCCATATTTCTTTCCTGGTCTGAAAACACTGCATAGGTTTGGTCAGAGGACACAAAGAAACTAGATTCCTGGGAATCATTTGCAATTTCTGCCACCACTACGGGAAGCCTGGATGTGGACTGCCTGGCAACGTGCAATCTGCAGTGGGGTACGTTTGAAATACCCTGTGCTGCGCATACCCCCAAACCCTCTTCCCTCGTGCTGCTCAGAAGCTTTTTGGGTTAGACCACTGTGCTACAGTGTTTCTGACTCCAGCTGCTCAGAAAAAAAGAAAAAAAGAAAAGATTTCCTCATGCAAAAATTCAACTTTTTGTAAGAAAAGCCCCACAACTCCAAAATTTAAAATGTTTGCAACCGTAGCAAACATTTGCCAGCACATTTTTGATTTTTTGCCAAAATATTCTGGCCAAAACTGTGGAGAAAAAAAAAAAAAAAACACAGAATTGTCTATGGAAAGCAGATACTTCTCATGAAAATATTCATTTAGTCAAATCCCCAGGTTTCTACTGAAAGTCAGTTTCAGTGGAAAATGCTGACGAGCTCTATTATTGGCACAGCTTTACTTTTCCTTTGTCTGGAACAGACACAGAGAAGACAGCATCTGTCAAATGTAGTCTTCAGGCTTATATTATTATTGAGACTAGAGCACTGTTCAAGGACTTCAGGAAAGGTTCAAGCAGTCATTGTGCTAGGTGCTGTGCATATACACGAAAGATAGTCCCTTCCCCAGAGGGATTATAATTTAAGCGCAAAATCTGAAGACGACAAACAGATGGGGAGAGCACAAGGTAACTGTGGACTGGTTCTGATCAGCATGATGAAGAGGGGGACACTGTGCTTATCCTTGCACCTGCTCTTCCTTTAATGCTCTGCGCTCAGCCATACCACAGCTGTGTGAGCTCAAAACTCCCTCAGGAGATGCATCAAGCTGCCTCAGTTCCAGAGACAGCTGTAGAGGAGGGCTGAGATGGACTCTGCCTCCCATACACTGCCTCCAATTCAAAATGTCCCTGCGACAGAGAAGAGAAAGCTGTTTCCACAGCCCCCAAAGCGCAGAAGCTGTAATCCTGCTTGCTCCTTACCTTGGGTAGGAAGATGCTCTGCTTACCTCCTTCTTGCAGGCCCACGTAGCAATGCTTGATTATGAGATCTAGCAGACAGTGGGCTAGGGAGCCTGCAGGGTATCAGACATTGGCCATGCCCTAAGGAAAGTCTGAATGACAGCAAACAGGCACTCAGTTTGGAATTCCCCAAAGAATTCGGGCTTTTATTCTTTTAAGAAGATGGAGCCCCCAAAATCCAGGCAGAAAGCCAGGGTCCATTTGTGAATGCAAATGTTATCAATATGGGGGTGCATATCAGGACCTAAAATCAGCATTGGAGCTTAGGAAAGAAGGGGAGTGTGCTTATTGGACCGAGCATACCTATTTTCACTCATGCTTTTTTTGCCCAGATTCTGTCTTGCCCAACAAGCTGTGCAATTCCAAAGGCCTATCTGCCACGATCCCCTTCTGCCCTGACCCCCCAGCATGCTGTTCATCACTTTATGTCTTGATCAAACTGACACGGCCACTTAGATACAGGAAAGAGTTGTTAGAGAAGGATCTGTGCTGGTTTCAAATAGTTTCCAGAACTGGTCACCCACTTCTGTAAGAGATTAAAAAAAGTATTGGCGAGAAGGGAGTGAGGGAGAAAGAGAGCATGGGAAAATAAATAAATAAAGGTATATAGTTACTTTTGGTTAGTCTCAATATGCAGTCCTCTCCCGGGGCACCGCCTTCTGTGCTCATTTGAAGTATTAGTCACTTTTTCCATTAGAACCCCTTATTCTACGGGGATTTATAATTGTATCTGTAAAATTGTCTCCAGGCTTTGCTTGGCATCTGAGCTCTCAAATCCATGGACAGAATGTAAAGAAACTACAGTTGTTTGATTTATTGGGACAGGGCACAGGGAGGAATGGGGAATTTTTCCATGCTCAGCTTGGTGGAAATAAATTCACATGGCGCTTTCAGTGCACAATCACTTACTACCCTAGGAAATATACCACTTGGGTGCAATCTCACGCTGCCAGGGGGGAAAGGAGCAAAGGAATGATATGTTAAACGGGGGCTGGGTCTCAGGGAAAATATTTGTGGTTTCTCACCATGACCCACCCAGTCCACAGTCCTCTTTGGCCCTGCTGGTGCAACACCCTTTCTGTCATACTGCAAAGGTTCCGAAATCCTGCCCTTGACAAACCTTTTTCAACACTAATTTCTATAGGGCACATTTCTTAACTCTCTGCAGAGGCCTTCTGCAGCGTCCAGGTGTTATTTTTCTACTGAGGCGGCCTATGCCCCAGTTAAGTTTTACCAATCTTTCTTAATATGCCAGCTGCACCAAGGTAGATGGCTGGGAGGGGTGAGCAAGGGCTAGAAAGCCCCTGTAGGTAGCATTAGCACCTAAATGGCAGAGATGTTTAGACAAAGTGAGAACTGAGGTGACCATATCCATGGAAATGTTTCAACTTTATATGAAATTAATAGGAAAGACCATCCACCCTAACCTGACCAGCGTAATGATAGGGTCAGAAACGCATTTTTCATTTCCCCTTTGCTGGTAGGTCCTGAGCAGGAGGCTGTGGTGGCTTTTTTTACTACTCTTGTGATGCAAAAACTCCAAACAGCTCTTCACTTGGGACTAAGCTCATCTACAGGGTGGCCCTGATTTGGCAGTTCACCCAGATTGTTCCACTGAAGGGAGGGATCGATCGGGAAGAATGGAAGGATTTAGGACAGTGATACACACTGGGATCAAAGGGAGGGAACCCAAGCCAGAATCTTCTTGTAGCCTCCCTTCTACAGCACTAATCAGCTAAACGGCAAGATCCTAACCTGGACATTTCAAGGCAACAATAACCTAAAATTGGAACTTGGCAAATTATTTATTCAAACTACAGCCTTCCCTTCCCCACCTCTTGATTAGCAGACCGCTGGGGAGTCAGCCCTGATTTTCTTCAGACAGACGCGTACGGTTCTCCTTGCCTGTCTCCGCCACGAGCTCTCAGCCTGTGGGGGGCTGAGGATCTAGTTGGTATTCGCGATGTGTAGCAGGTCATTGCATTCACATGTTGTTCTGCGCTCTGACTGGATCACAAACTTTTTCTTTGAGAGCATATACAGCGATGATTAATATGTTTGTTTTCTGCCTTTTTTCCAGACAAATACTTAAACTGCAGTTTGCAAACACTCCCCCACACGCTCGCTCAACTACTTACACCTAATAATAAAACAATATCTGAACACCATTGTCACCTGAATTCTTCTTTTTGTTTTTTGGGGGGTTCTTTTGTTTTTCTATTCATCATATATAAAAAGCCCCAATGAGGCCTAGACAAACAGACATGAAAATACAGAGTTTCTAGTAAAGAAACATAAGGTACACTGCAAACTGGAGTTGGAAGTCCTACAGCTGAAATCCTCTCCCCGAGTCAGAGGCAAAACATTCATTGACCATAGAAGAGCTGGGATTTCATCCCTGGGACTTCAGTAGTGGGAGACATGATGCTTGGTAACGTATAGGGAAGAATATGAAGAGTTCAAAGTATCAAATGAAGAAGAGCAGAGACGTAAGAAGAACAAAGGAAGTTCATGTCATCATGATTTATTGATGATCCTGGCCTGATCACTTCAGTGTTTTGTATTAACAGAACCCATTATGAACAGCAGCTAGCCCTGCAGGCCACTTGGCTGTACTGATGTGTTAATGATGTGACCATTTAAAGACAAGGTTTGCAAAAAAAAAAAAAAAAATCAGGCTTCATCTTGCACTCACCCAGACACTTGCTGGGAACCAGCCAGGATCTCCTGACCTCACCCCCATCGGAGCAGAGCTCCGGGAATCCCCTCCCCATAGTTTACATTTTTCCATCTCTACCAACTCACCTAGCAAGTGCCATGGGAAATCTCTAGGTCTGAAGCATCCAAACTTGCTTAAGAATGAGCCAAACTGATTCTTTTCTTCAAGGAGGAGGGTCCTAACGAAAATAAAATGCTAGGGGTTCTTTGTCCCTGTATCTTGGATACAAGAAAACTCCCACGCTTGTCAGAAATAAGAGCAGCACCAGCAGCTCGTGGTTTTTTTTTTCTTTTTCTTAGTCTCTTTTTTTTTTGGGGTGTGTGTGTGTGTGTGTGTGACAGAGAGAGAGACAGAGAGAGAGTGTGTGTGTGTGCTTTAAATTAGGATGACATACTGACGGGTTTAAGAGACAGTGAGTGTTCAGATACCAGTTTCAAACGTAACACAGGATACAGCTTCTTTCTTCTGTGATCATGGGTGAAAAATCAAAGAAATAATCCGGCAGACTAACTACACTCCCCAGCCATTCAACTCACTCATAAGTATGCCTGCTGATACTCTTTGTGTAAAAAAAAAAAAAACGAAACAGACTTCTATTCCCTATTTTGTTTAACTTCAAGTCCAATCTTCCATCCACATCTTCTGATTGTGCTAGTCACAGTTAATAGGATTGCATTCCCACCCTATTCCCCTTCAGTTTTAGGCTATTTTACATTTAAAAACTAGCGGATTCCAGTTTCTTCTAATGAGAGGGTCTCTTTTACCTTTAGGAAAGTGCCCACTCACTGCCTCCTCACAGAAAATAAACTAGTGTGACAGTAAACAACTCCAAAACAAAGCATTTTAACTAGATCACCCCTTGGCACTAGCTTATTATTCAACAGAACTTAGAAGAAAGCCTGTCCTTCCCTCCACACTGATAATAGCCCAAAATAAAGCCAATTCAGATAAACTAAATGAAATTAAATATATACTTGCTGTCATTTCCTTTTTAAGGCTGGAGAAGCCCTGGAGCCTATTAGCTATTGACAAGAAGGGGACCCTCCACATCCAAGCTAGATGCACAGACCCTCATAAAACAACCAGACCTTTGTTTATCACTGCTCTGCACTGACATGTATGCAGATGTCATGAGGACTAGGAATCTGTGCGCACAAGGGACGACACTTTCTGAACATCGTTAAGTTTTTATATATATGTAATAAATACATAGACACACGATATAAAAGCACTTCATCATGAGAACATTTTAAACAATTACTTCCAAATCTGCACAGACCCCTTCAGTGCAAACAAGCTGGGAGGGACACAGATGCCTTAAATGAGTCCTTTTTTGCAGCTTTGCATAGAAGAAGCTGAAGGTACCAATATGTTTTGGCACGTATGAACTTTGATTTGGTTTTGAACATTGCCACCAAGCTTTCTGGGACTCCTTTGGCGGACTGATTTTTTTAGTCATATTTTAGATAAACCGCAAACTTATAAATTAAGGACTTTTTTTTTAAATGTACTCCCGAGTTTTAAGAAGACCAGTAAATACCTCCGTGTAGCAAAGCTGGGAAGCTGGAGTCCCTAGCAGGGCAGGCTGGCATCCAGCCCACCTTCTCTCGAGAGCCGACGCCAAGCTGGAAGTTCAGCCGGGACCGGAGCGCTCAGCGGCCCCGGTGACCCCGCCGCCCCGCGCCCGGGAGGGCAGCGGGCACGGCGGTGCGGGAGGCTTTTGTTCTCAGCCCGATGCTCCTGGTCCGTCCCGGGGAGCCAAAATCCCCCGCTTCCCTCGTCCCCCGGAGCCAAGCCCACCC